CCCCCCCCCTTTGCAAAAAAAAAAAAGTACAAGTTCCGAGTACTGGACATAGTACCACATTGATCACATACTCTCTTCATCTCCCCATCTCCTACTTCATCTCTTATTAATCATAAGAACTTGAACTTCTTGGTGAGTCTATTGATTAACCTCATCTAGATTGGAATCAACACTTGAATTCTATTTTATTTCTTTATACTCTACATCTACTTACTTTACACTTTTATACTTTTATAACCAAAACAAACAAACAAAAAATATATACATATACAAACATACATACAAAAAAATATATCTATGTAGATTATCATCAAATACCCTCTACATACTTTTCTACTTCTTGTCTATATTCAAACAACAGTACAGACCATCAAACCACAAGCACAATAACCGTAAGTTTTCTGGTATTCAATCCGTTATTTCATTTCATTTCATTACTTTATTTCATTTCGTTTCATTTCGTTTCATTTTACTTCTTCCTTTAATTCTTTTCGCTTCATTTTCTTTATTTTCTGTAAGCGAAACTGAAAGAAGGAAGAAGTTGTTCTTGATTCTTTATTACTACTACTATTACTATTACTATTACTATTACTATTATGTTTATTATAACTTTCAATTGTATTATATTTCCCTTTTTTTCGATTCTTTTGAACCTGCTGTATTTCCTTTTTCATTCTGGGGCAGTGTACATTTTTTTTCAGACTTTTAATTCCATTAACTCTTTCTCTTTAACCCATCTTGCGTCACGATTGTTCTTTATCCGCCTCATACTCGCTTTGGAATCTCTCTCTCTATCACTCTCTCAATAACTCTCAATAACTCTCAATAACTCACTCACAAAAATCTGTTCTTATCGGTTTCGCCGCACTTCTTTGCGCTTCAAACGTTAGTTTCTTTTTTTTTCCCCTTTTTATCTTTTTTTTTATTCATTCATTCTTCTTTTCATATACCTACCTACCTACCTACCTACCTATATATCTATGCACACACGCACCCATATTATATATACATTTACCTACCAATTTATCTATCTACCTATCTACCTATATTTATACTTTCTTCATCTGTGCTGGTGAACATGTGTGCTTACAACTTGGAATTACAGATGACAGTTAATCATGAAACGAACAAGCGATTATATGGGCCAGACAGCTGGTGATATTAACAAGAAACCTCGATTCTCACAAGGATCGTATGGGTGAGTAACAGAATATAAAGTAAAAGTAGAGAATAGAAGAGGACTAAATATAGTACAACAACTGTGGTGTCGCAGGAGTATCACATGTCTCTTTACTTACCTCCCTTTACTTCGTTTCTTCATTTCTAATCGTATACCTTACCTATATCTGTGTATCTAGTGACATGTACTCTTACTCAGGTCTCAATTCTGCCATGATGATGAACTCATCCTATCCATCATCAGCATCAATGAGTGCTCAATTCTCACCAAGCACTGCAAGCCAATCAGGCTTTCCTGGATTGAGCCAATTTGCATCAGCAGCCAATGGATCAATGTATGGCTCAATGCATCCCTATGGAGGATCACAGTCAATGATGAACTCTCAGTTCAACATGACAACTCCATATCCGTCCAGCTTTGCACCAGCTTTCCAGAGCACCCCAAGCATGACAACCAGTGGCCGGACAGACATCAGCCGCACAATTTATCTAGGAAGCGTCCCAAAAGAAGCCACTCCTGCAGAAATTCTCACACAGGTCAAGACTGGTGCAGTTGATTCATTCAAAATCCTACCCGACCGGAACTGCGCCTTTTTAACATTTGTTGATCCAGCCTCAGCACAGGCCTTCTACCAAGAGTATCTCTCACGAAAACTCACCGTCCAGGGCCAGGATCTGCGTGTCGGCTGGGGAAAACCCAGCTTGGTAGCAACCCAGACCCAGGCCGCCCTCAATGTCGGTGCAACTCGTAATGTCTACATTGGAAACCTTTCGACTTCATCGACAGAAGAGTCTCTGGAGGAAGAACTGTCAAAATTCGGTCAGATAGAACATGTCAAGATCTTGCGTGATAAGAATATTGCTTTTGTTCATTTTACTTCCATTGTCTCTGCCGTAAAATGTGTAAATGCCCTGCCATCTGAACCAGCCTGGAGTAGTAGACGCATCAATTTTGGAAAAGACAGATGTGCGTATGTACCAAAGAACGGAATCTCGGCCAGTTCGGCTCTGATGATGGACCCTCAGCAGCAGCAACAACAACAGCAGCAGCAGCAACAGCAGCAACAGCAACAGCAACAACAGGTGCAGGTACAGCAGCAGCAGCAGCAGCAACACCAGCAACAATCTCAGCAATCACAGTACTCCAGTGCGTTTGGATTCCAGAATCCTTTCCAAGGAGCATTTGGATTTGATCCATATGCATCCGGCGGCATGAATACAGCATCGATGATGTCTCAAGCCTATGGTATGAGTAGCAATCCCATGAGTGCCATCAGCGTGACACTGCGCACACTGTATGTGGGTGGAATCATGCCCGAGGCGACCTGCGAAGACCTCTGCAATTCGATTCGTGGTGGTGTACTTTTCCAGATCCGCTTCATTCCCGAGAAGCACTTTGCATTTGTCACCTTTGTGGATGCAAATGCTGCTCTCTCGGTCTACAACCACGCCAACACATCCGGTCTTGTGGTCAAAGGAAGACGTGTACGGGTCGGGTGGGGAAAGCCTTCAGGAATTCCTTCTACTGTGGCTCTGGCTGTCCAGACTGGAGCGTCGCGCAATGTGTATGTCGGTGGCATCGAAGACGAGATGACCGAAGAAAGACTCCGTGAAGACTTTTCAGAGTTTGGAGAAATCGAACTGATCAATACTCTAAAGGAGAAGAACTGCGCGTTTGTGAACTTTACGTGTATGATGAATGCGATGAAGGCATTGGCCGGCATCAAGGAGAACCCGGTCTACGCCAATTACAAGATTAACTATGGCAAGGATCGATGTGGCAATCCTCCCAAAAGACAGGCCAACCCTAACAGCGCCAATGGTAACAGCAGTAACGGGCACACTTCCATCACACACTCTGCGGGTGCAACCGGAAGTACGACTGGTAGTTTAACTCACCAAAATGATTCGTCTGGTTACACTCAAGACACCAGTACAAGTGCAGTAAAGTACGAGGAATGAAAAAAAGAAAAGAAAAAAGAAACCAAAAAAAGAAGAACACACATAGGTACATACATACATACATACACACACACATATATATATATATATATAACATGTACTTTGTGTTGTTCTTTTAACTTGCCTGTGTGATTGTGAAAGTCCTTATATAAATATACTATATATATAAAAATAAAAATAAAAATAAAAATAAAATGAATTGTTGTGTATGTATGTGTGTGTGGATTATCCACAGAGCCATATATAAAACAAAGGAAATACTATTTTATCTAAAGACCATATGTAATATCCTTAAAAAAACTATTGGAAAATAATTGATTTCCAATTGGTTATCTGCCGCTATCTTGTCCTGTTTTGAAGATGACAAAGAAGCTGTAAATTTGTATGTATGTGTTATATATTTCTTTGATGTTGTAGCCAATAATCATGAGTCATACTATATATATATTGTGTGTGTGTGTGTGAGAGAGAGAGAGAATGCATATTGAAAATGAATAATGGGGTTTGAGCGGATGATTGATTGGCCAGGGAAACAATGTTTCATCCGCCCTGTACAAGAAATACGTTTATCCTTTTGGATAGATTGGATGACGCCATACGTACTGTGATAAGCTTATTTATCTAGTATTGCTATTACTAACTATTATCGTTATTAATTTATCTTATATAATCAATTCTAATCTCTTGGCCTGATAATCGATGGATACAGTGATGCAATCCAAAATATGATCATTAAACAATATATGCCTTTCTTTTGCTTTTAAAAGTGCACAGTAAAAATCAAGTGAGGCTTGAATGATTATGAGAATGATGTATAGACGAGGATCCCCCCCAACCCGACGAATATATGTCACACCCGACAAGCCATAATAAATATAAATAAAAATATATATAACTTTGGTAAAATGTACTACGCCAATTATCATTATTATCAAATAAAAAGTTTCCTCCCCCAAATTACCACTAGATATTTGAACCGATCAAAATGCTAAATCCTACTAAGATTACAAGAAATTGTATATAAATATATATTTCAGTAATCTCTCTCACACTCACACACGCGATCTCAGGTGAACCCCGCACTTGTTTATTGTTAGATATTATACACATACACATGTATATAAGACAAAATGGATGATCGTGACTGGTATATGTCTATTCTCATTAACTGTGAAGTTTGTTTTCAATCATGCCTCTTCCCACGCATAGGCCCCCTTTTTTTTTCGTAACTTCTCTAGTCACTTGAGATTATACCAAATGTGCTTTGGTTTGATAAAGAAATCGATCAAGAGGCTTTTACTTTCTGTGATTTAACATGAGCTTACATTAATGCTTATCAATTGACCTTATCAGAAACCTGGGAAACAAAGAACAAAGAGATGACTTTATTTTATTTATTTTTCTTTGTTGAGCCTTATCGAACTAGAAATAGCCTCAATTCATGTAGACTTTTTTTATTTTTGGTTTTGTGTTCAAATGTCTCTCTTTATATACAAGCGCATACACGCATATAAAAACAAAACACTAAAAAAATATTGTTTACAGTCAAAGTAAAGTATATTTATATAACTGTACTTCTTTAAAGATGTACTTTATTTTCTATCTGTCCTTTCCCCGCATTCAACCCCCCTTTTTTTCATTTCTTTCATTTCGGTCTCCGTAGCAACAAAGGTCGGTTACCGAATTGCTGCATCCTCGTGTTTGAACCAATTTTTTTTTACATATTTTTTTTTATTTATTTATTTTGTCTGTCCGTCGATTGAAAATGTGGGGAAAAAAAAAGAAGTGTGTCTGTTTCAGCCAGTTAAATAACAAGAGATACAAAATACAAGAAGAGTGAATTGTGATGACATCAGCCACCTGTTCTTTTATTCTTTTTTAGTTTTTTGGTTTTGTACATTTACTTGGGCTGTTTATTGAGCTATTGGTACAATTAATATCCCCTATTTAATACAAAAGGCATAAAATATTCTCTATTTCAATGTCTTGAGTGCCAAGGGAATAGGCTGGGCCGGGTGGAGTCGGGTAACGCTCCTTGCCTCTGCCCAAAAAGGACCCCGCTCAAAACAAAAAGGATCTTTTGTCTAACCAAGATACCAAATGAAGCTTGCCAAATCGAATTATATAAAAAAAAAACATGAAAGAATCAAACGTCTGCCAGACTTGGGGCGGCGCAGGGAGCGGATTGTTACATTAGATGACTCCACAAAATCAAAGAGAATTAGTTCGAGGCCATCCCCTTTTTGGAAAAGCGATTCGCATTTGTAACCTGAATTGCGGCTGCATTTTCTTACCTCTTTCTTTCTCTTCTTCTTCTTCTTCTCCTTCTTCTTTGTCTTCTTTGCCTGTGTCTTTATCTTCTTCTTTATTTTTGTTCTCTTTCTCTTCTTGGGTCCGCATTAACCAATGCATCAGTGACCATTTAATTTTCTCTTTTTTTTTTCTTTATTCTCTTTTTAATCTTTAAAAAATCTGCGTTATGGAGTTCGACACGCCTGTGCCTCACAAGGCTGCCAGCATTACCAGCATTACTAGTAACAGTAGCTGGGACAACCCACCGTCTCTATACTCTGGCCGTGATTCGGTCTCGAGTCTCTATGACGCTGACGAGTCGCCATGTCTTCAGGAACCAGGTTCATTTGAAGGTAAATTGGATCACCATTAGTTTTCACAAAATACATATACACATAATTTTATTTTATTCTTGCATTTATTACACAACCAACCAACAAAACTAACCAATTGTCTACTCTATTTTATCATTTCAATAGAGTTCCATTTCAGTCTGGGGCTCGATCCTGCCCTGTCGATTCCAGTTCCATTTGAAGCCGAGGCGTACATGCCACTTCCCCAAGACTTTGGCGAAGATGTCCTTTTGGATGAACATGATAAGAAGACCTTTGGTGAATTCCTCAATGGTTTCTTTATCGAAGAAGACTTGGATAATGACCCCTTTAGTCTGGCAAAGGTATATGAAATATTTTTTTTAAAATAAAAATAAAATAAAAAAACTAAATTTTTCATGTGCTTTTGTCTTTATTTTAGACTACCAAGGCCTTCATGGACAACGCGTGCTCCCAAGTCACTCAAATGCAGCGGAATCCCTCACCTGACAAGCCTGCAGAAGACGACAGCATCCGAAAACGTCCCCATGACCGGTCCTCCCCCTCGCCCTCCCCCTCTCCATCCTTGTCGAAGCGTACCAAGCCCAACCGAGACCTGTTGACCGAAGATGAGAAGCGAGCAAACCACATTGCGTCTGAACAGAAACGTCGGAATACCATTCGAAGCGGCTTCAAAGACCTCACAGACATCATTCCTACCCTCAAAAACATCAACAACTCCAAGAGCACTGTTCTCTTCAAGGCTGTCGATTATATCCGCCATCTCGAGAAACGCAACAGGGGACTCAAGGACCGTCTCGCCGCCTTGCAGATGCGTGCAGAGGTCAAGGGACGTGTGTCGAATCTGATGAACAAGCATCAAAACCATAATCATCACCAGCATAACAACAATAGTAGTAATCATAATCATCATCATCACCACCACCACCACCATAACCAACAGCAACAACAACAACAGCATAATCATCATCAACAGCAACAATCATCACATCATTTCACTCGTCCTACCGCATTCACTACCCTCCCACGTCGATTAAGTGATGCGATACCTAGCAATCTGCCTCCTGAGGCTGTTGCTGCATTAATGGTGCACAAAGATCAGCAGCGCCAGTTGGAACGACTCCAGGAGCAGTTGAGGGTTCAACAAGCCCTCCTAGCCAAACACAATATCCACAGTCCCACGTCAACATCAACATCAACGTCAAGCCTCTACAACCGTCTGAAGCAGGAACAACGTTCAGCCAACAAACACCGCTTCCCCGGACACCACCACCACCATTCTTCCTACGATTCGATCTCCATTCCGTCCCATACTAATGTACATAGTCCCCCTTACCACGACACTCCCGCTCTTGTCATGCCCGTCACAGAAGACGACACTCCCGAAGACTGGTCCCAACCTTATGACACAATGGACGCCCCAAGTCTCAATATCCCCGCAGATGAGGAATACGGCAAAGAAACCGCTTTTCGGGAACGACTCTTGAGCTGCGGAAAACTAAAGTATCTTCACCCCCCACAACAACAATAAAAAAAAATTTTAAAAAAATACACACATATTTTTTCTCTCTCCTTTTTATTATATCTACTCCCCCCCCTCCCCCCTTTTTTGTATCCAAATTACATTCAAACATATCCAAGCAACCAATACACTTTAAACACTTTAAACACTTTACAATTCACCCTATATATATATAAATATAAAAAACTTCAAACGCATCTTCATTCCCCCCTCCTTTCTTTCTTTCTTTCTTTCTTTCACTATTGCCATGGCAATAAAATGACATGGTAAATTTGAAGAAAATAATAGTTAATGGTGGCAATGATATCTGACCTTTCCAGCAAAAAGGCTCAAACTCAAACCTACTTTTCATCAACCCAAACCCGATCTGCAGATCTGATATATACATATATTTATATTTATATATTTATTTTTGTGTTCGGTTATGCTGTCTATTTTCATCACGTCTAAAGATAACTCAAGAATACAACAACAATAAAAATATTATTATTTTATTAAATGGTACCATTGTCTGTCTCAATTTTATTATTTTTAATATTGTTTTCATTTATATATATAATATATAAAAGAAGAAAATAATACTAGGCCCGTGCACTAAGAAACATATATATATATATATACATTGACTACCTCAAAGTTAAACTGATTGATTGACAAAAGTAAAGATTTATCTTTTTTCTTAGCTAACAAAAAAAAAAAAAATCCAAAAATCCAAAAAATCCAAAATCGAACATTTGGATTCCAAAAATAAAAAATAAAAAATGATAGATATTTACTTTCCGATGATGACGTTGCAGAATTAGAAATGACGTTGCATATTTTCTAAACAAAGGCATATGATTGGCTGATATATACTGTTATTCCCTTTTCGAAATTCCCTTGCTTTTTGGTTATAATCGAGGCTTGGTTGAAAGGCTTGGTCGATTCTTGTTTTTCCTCTCTTGGCAGAACTCCGTCTAACCTCGTCCAACCGGCGCTCGCAGTCTAAACCTCAGGCGACATTAGCCATTTCGACACAAGCGGCATAAACGCAACGAGTAACTTAAAAGACCTTGGGAAGAGAGACAAAAGCTCGCCTCGAATAAATAAATAAATCCATAATAATACACGAATATTGAAATATCAGAAAGAAAACGAACATTCCTCCACCACCTCCAACCTCTACCGAGTCCCTCAACAGCTTTGAAAAATAATATAAAGATAATACGCATTGGGTTATCATGGCCCGTGTTCATTCGTTTGCCACTCAATCACCTCATAGTGAGCGTCGCCACAAGAACCCCGAAGACCCGGTCTCTCAAACAAACCAGGCACCTGTTCCGCAATTGCTAAAGGATGTCAATAGTGACGATGGTCCTACGCTGGATGTGACAGCTGTCCCTTCTCCGAACTGCTCGGTTGCCATTACCCCTACGAGTCACTCACCCCGAAACTCACCTCCTCCTGTACGCACCGCGATAGCTAATGATAGTCAACAAAAGGATGCCGCACTCAACATGTCACAGCTGCGAAGTAGCAGTGCTGCTTTGACAGCTGCACTGTTACAGAATGCACATAGTGACATGGACGTTGTTGGTGCTGTTGCTGCTGCCCTTTCTGTCAAACCAGGCAAGTTGCATATTTCTTTTTTTTGGGTTTCTGGTTTTGTTTTAGGGTATAGTGAAAATAAAAGGGGAATAAATAGTGTACAGATTAGTACAATTGAAATAGACATCACCAAATTCTATACACCCACATAGACACACGCTTGTATAATATATCAATGAGGGAATAAGAAAAAAATGAAAGAGAAAGAAAGAGAGAGAGAGAGAGAAGGAAAGAAGGGGAGAAAGAAAACCTCGGTCTGATGTCATTTTAGAATCACTTCATATGTTGCGCGAACAACAAGCATCCAGTGTTGAACGACGTCCTTCCGAAACAAGCCAAGAGTCTAAGCAACAGGACAGTAACGAATTAATGGAGCAAGCTGCTGCTGCAACAGCCTTACAATTACTTGGTTTAGCCCAAAGCCAAAACAAATCAGATAAACGATCGGCTAGTATTTGCAGTCACCCTTCTACGGATCAAGATGGAAACTCTAATATGGATGAACAACAACAACAGCAGCACCAACAGCAGCAACAGCAGCAACAGCAGCAACAGCAGCAACAACAACAACAGCAACAACAACAACAAGCAAGCAATGTCATGTTGATTGCAAATTACCCCGGTTTGTCTAATGCTTCATCGTCTTCGGTAGAGGGTATTGATATGAGCGATGACATGACTTACAAACGAGGTACCTGGACACGCGAGGAAGATGAATTACTGTTGGCTGGTATTAAGAAATTTGGGTATGGAAGATGGAAGGAGGTTGCGAGTATGATTCCTGGACGTAAAGGGAAACAGCTAAAGCAGCGATGGGATAATACATTGGCCTCCAAGTATCTTGATCGAGAATGGCTTCAAAATAAGATTAGAGGGGATGAAGAGGAACAGCAGCAGCAGCAGCAACATCAACAACAACAGCAGCAGCAGCAACAACAACAACAACAACAACAACAACAACAACAACAACACCATCAGCAACAGCAGCAGCATCAACAACAGACACAACAATCACAACAATCACAACAATCACAACCGCAATCACAACCGCAATCACAACCACAGCATCAACACCGTGGGGATGTAGATATTGAAGGCTCACCAAATGCAAGCCCAGATCCATCCTCACCGCCTCATGTACCTCAACAAAGACCAGAAAAATTAGAAATGGATGACAAGATGATTCGGTTATTTGAAGCAACAGACTGGAATATGGTGGCGCAAAAGATCTCAGAAAAAGCCAGAGAGGGTAATCAAGAAGCTATTGAAGCCCTCTTGTCACAAGCATTGTTGGGGAATATGCATTCATCTTCAGTCCTCTCAACCCTCCCAGCATCAACACCAAACACCAACAATTCCACAGCAGCAAATGCTCAAAACACAAACACTAACACTAACACCAACACAAACACCAACGCCACAACATCTACCCCAGGCATAGCAACTACGTACCCTCGTCCCTCATCTACTACCTTTAATTTCCCTGATACTGCTGCTCTTGCTGTATATGCTCAACAGCTTACTCAGCAACAACAAAGCCAGACTCAAAACCAACCTGAGGATGCGGACAATCATCCGCTAACCTTCTTTTTAAACCCTTTTGGTACTGGAAATGATAGTGCTGTGGCTGCAGCCGCAGCCGCAGCAGTCAGTGCATTGGCGCAAGCAGCGCAATCAACGCCTAATAGTAGTCATCTGGCACATATGGTGGCAGCTAGTAATATGAACAACAATAATTCCAACAACCCTTCTGGAAACAATGCGCACCACGGATCCTCTTTAAGTCATGGATCCTTTGGTGCGTCATCCAGGACAGGGATGAAACGAAGACGATCAGATCCTGCACTGGCAGACACCCAATCGGCCGCCATGTCGATCTATGCGTCTGCAGCACCTATTACTACTACCATCAATAACCAAACACAAACAGTTTATCCTTGTTTGTTTCCTAATTGCGGAAAGACGTTTGCACGTCTATACAACCTCAAGAGCCACTCTCGGACGCATACCGATGACCGACCATTCATGTGCCAGGTGTGTCAGGCTGCGTTTAGCCGTAATCATGATCTTAAACGCCACGTCAAGATTCATGATGGTGACAAGCCATTCCGGTGCATGGGTTGTAATAAGAGCTTTTCTAGGTAAAACAAAAATAGATATAAGACTTTATTTTTTATTTATTTTTACTCATCATTACTGTGTAGATTGGATGCTCTCAAGCGACACAAGAGCAACCAACGCAACAAGACTGCATGTCTTCCGGGGACATAAATATACTCACTCACAAACTCACACTCAATCACTCACATTCAGTCACTCACCAGCTCACTCATAAGCTCACTCGCAAACTCACTCACAAACTCACACACAAAAAAGGCGGGCAAGTGAACCAAAATAAACATCCACAACCTGTATAGTCGCATGCTTCCCTACTGTCTCTTTTTATCTCTATCTCTCTCTATTTCTTCACTCCCCCCTCTTTTATCTCTCTCTCTATCTTTCTTTTTGATAAAGCCCATTCCAATGATAATCATTCTGATTCCAAAATTCCAAAATTCAAATTAATAAACACACACACACACCCACACACACACACACACAAAATATTTCAGATACATACACACAAAATACTTGCTTATTACTACTAATATTAGTTTTACTATTACTATTACTATTGTTATTAAGAAATTATACATCTAAGCCGTCAAACGATGAGCCGGAATAAAAGCAAATATCAGCGTATTTAAAAACGCCACGGCTACAGATAGAACCAACCAAAAACAGCCACGTTTGGTGTGCATTTGTTGAATTGAATTATCCAGGACCTCGCTGTAGACCATGAATCGAATTTCACTAAAAAAGATGACAAGTTAAATAAGTGTCTTGTTCAATATATAAATAAACCCATGCATCATTTGTACAAATACCATTTTCCAGTGAACGCCAACCACCAGGCAAATTCTGTAACACTTGCAATAAGACCTGTCCAACCCACCAAGAAGGGCAAGATCCCCCACCATCGTGTGGTTTGTGTGCCTTTGTCCAGAAAAATAAGTGCAAACTCCAATGCATAAGCCATTGTTAGAAATATTACTCCTGTGAGCATGAGTAGGCGCGCACTAACGATGGCTATATTTGTGTACAACACCCTGTCAACAAACTGGGGATAATAAAATACATTGAGAATCTCATACACATGTGATCGTGCTGATTCAAAAACTACAGGCTCTGGCCGATGATGTTTTTCAATCAATTCTTCCAGAGCCAAACGGTGATCATCTGGTAGATGAATCGGCTGAGCTGCATCCATTGCAGAGCAGAATGTTCGATAGATTCGTGTTGAATTCTGTACCAAGTCATGACGACTTAAGGATGAATCCTGATTCTGCACTTTTGCGGCTCCCATTTCAATCTCTTGCTCATTTTCCTCCAAGACAGATGATTCATTGAATCCAAATGATGTCTTTTGAGCATGGAGTAAGAATCTTGAGTGCCGAATTCCTTGTTTTCGTTCTACACTGCTTAGATGAGCCCGCCAGAGCTTATCGTGTGTTTCGAGTTCCATTAGAAAATTAAGGTTTTGGTGAACATCTCGCCGTCTCAAGAAGGTTGCAAAGTGTGAAAGAGTCAATGGACTGAGTGTGTTGAGATGCATCATCTGGTCAAGAGTCGGTAATCCATTCACTTTGAGATTGTAATCCTTCATCTCTTGCCATGCTTCCATTGGAGCGGCTGCGAATGGATCAGTGTAGCCATATGTCTTGTGTTTCAAGCCATGGTGCAGAGTAGCTGGTACAGCATGAAGGTCAGGTTGATTGTAAGGGTTGTTCGATTGTCGGTTTTGGGTGGAAGAAAGGTCATTAAGAGGGATAGAGCGATCTTTTTCAGCAAACTGTTGATAGCTCAGGTCATTTGCCAAGGCAGCTTGTAGAGTGTTGGTTTCCAATCGACTATTGGCTTGGTTGATACTCCAAGGTCGATGAACAAGACCTAATTTATTTCCATCTAGATTGGTGTAAGGTGCCTTAGAAGGAGTGGAATTAGACATTATGGCAAAGGAATGAAGGACATTTTAGACAAGTAAAAAAAATAGAGAACTGTTATTGTTATTGTCCACCTCGGGCACAATCGATCGTGTCACATTGAAGACTGGTGTAGGCACGCTTTTACGGGCCATTTTGTAAAATACAATTCTATGGTATACTTTGTAAACTTTATCATGAAATAGCTTTGAGAGGATCTTGAGTAAAGAAGTGTAAGTGGATGAGATTGAGAAGAACAGTGCTTACTAACAGTGTTATTGATAGGATTTGTTTTTACTGTTATTATTATTATTATTATTATTATTATTTGAATCATTATCCAAATACATCTTTAACCAATAGGCAAATGATAACTTTTTTCTTTATTTCTTTCTTTATTCATCTCAATATTTAATGAAGCTGTACCAGATTAAATATTGGATCTGATTTATTGAAATACAATCAATTGATGAATTGAACGAACATAAACATAACATATCTTAGAAATATATCTACAATTTCTTGATCAAAAAACCTTACAATCTTACTACAATAAGTGTATAGTAAAACCAATGTTTTCTTAATCTATGCATTTGATATAACTGGCTTTATTCTTCTCAAATAATATAATAAGAAAAGAAAGAGAAAATACTTTGTGGATTTCATAAACTTAACTACCAAATGTGTACTTGTGATGTAAACACTTATTAATTTTGACTTGTTTATAGTAATACTAGCTGCTGGTAGAATGTGAAATGGATATTGATCTATGTTGAGAAAATCCAAAGTAGGGATGCATTACAAGTCATCTTATTTTGGTAGATGTACTACGTCTATTTATCTATCCAATCCTAGAATGTTATTTCTATGGAATTTTTTGAGGTGAGGTGGGGGAATGGTAATGTAGTACAAAGAATGATGAAGAGGCACCATATAATCGTTACCGTTTCCCTGACTTCTCGAAATAATATAAAGGACTCCAAAGAATGCAGTGATTTCTTGTTGGAATATATATATATATATATACAGCATACGAAAAAGGCTGCCATTTGTAACAAAATCCAAATCAGCCATTCATTTATTGTATTGTACCTTAGTTGACACACAGGTACATTAATAATCATTTGGGTTACCAAAACATTTATCATTCACCCTAGAACTTAAAAAAGGAAACTCAGGAACCAAAAGCCAAGAAAGCATGTATTTGGATTAGATTGTTTTACATTTTAGACCATAGAACATACTATAAAAATAGAAAGTAAATCTTACCGATTTTCTATTAAGTAAAACTATTGAATACAGAGCCTGCTCTACAGGTTGGAACCATTTCTTTGGTAAACTCGAAATATCGAGTTAATAGAATTGACATCTAACAATAAAGTCTTAAAAAGTCAATGTATAAAAATTACAACTGTCATTCTCTATCTACCTTATTGTAAATGTAGAGTCTAACCAAAATCTCCTGTAGTCTAGTAAATGTCAGTGCATTTCCAATTTCTAAAAAAGGGGTGGCTTGCTTGGGCGGGGACCTAAGCACCCTGGCAACTGACATGAAAAAAAAATGAAGTAGATAGGACGGCCTTTTCATTAATTTAGCTTCTTTATTATACGACATTTAATAAACGCATGTATATAGATGCTTCTTTATTAATTGCTGGCCTGTGTATTACCTAGTGGTAAACACTATTAAATTGGTTCACGACCTGTGGTGTCGTCTTTAACTCACAATGGGTCTCAGGTTCCGATCTTCCGCCTAACCTTTAAGCCCGCTCTCATTTATGCTCTTTACCCCGATAACAATCCTTACTGCCATTACTATAATTAAATAAGTACATAGACACACATCTATATATACGAATCCACACACATGTACATATATATATCCACATTCTCCTGGAAAATCACTGCATTCAAATTATCTCTTCGATACACACTCTACATTTTGGTCTAGTACTTGTATTATAAGTATAAAGCACTAGAATTGAGATCAAACCTATTTTTTTTGATCTTGCGGTTGGTTGTGTTGTGTGACGTATTGTGGGTTTGGATTGGCAGCATGAGACCGACTTTCGCGTTCACCACACCGCAGTTTTTTTTTCTTTTTGAAGTATTCTCTTTTCCATCTATTTCTTCATCCTTATTAATTAGGCAAGTACATAATAGATGAAAATGACGAGATTACAATAAGTCTGAATGATAGATCAGTCTCAGAGTATTATCATCTTTGACAGGCTTTGTAGTTGAAACCAAGAACACCTCATTAACCTTTGATGACACTTTTTTTATAGCCATGGCTACCGAACAAGCAAACGCGACTCCTGCTCCAGTAGCAGAGACTAAACAAACTCCTGTCGTTGAGGCAGTCGAGGAACCTTCCTTCAAGGTAAGTAATTCGAGTATAAAGCAAATATATAAGCTTGTCATCTCGCATCAACTTTTTTTTTGTTTCTTGGTCATCTTACCATTTGGATTTAGGTTTTTGTAGGCAATATGTCCTTCAAGACCACCGAGGAAACCCTCTCTGAATTCTTCAAACCCTGTGGCAACGTGTAAGAATACATATATATATGTGTGTGCGTGTGTGTGGATGTGTGGATGTGTGGGTGTAAAAAAAAGATAGGGTAGTTTTTTCTACCTCTTTGTTATGGGGAAGATGTAATACAATCGAATGAAAATATGTCAAGGAGATAAACATTTGAAACCAAAATCTTTTGCTTTGTATACGTGTATTTTTCTTACTAATATATTTTTAATAGATTGGACGCCACTATTATTACTCGTGGACCCCGTTCCCTCGGTTACGGTTTCGTCACCTTCTCTTCTCTCGCAGAAATTGAGAAGGCCACCAAAGACTTGAACAAGAAGGAACTTGATGGACGCGAGATTAACGTCGAAGCAGCTCGTCCCAAGGCACCAAAGACTGGACCAACCAAGGCCCGTCGTACCCGTAAGCGCAGTGCCAAAAAGGCAAGTACGCTCACGCCTACCCAATCACACACCCACACCCACACCCACACACCTAAGCACTTTTGCGGACAAACCACCAAACACAATAATAGCACATATACATACACATATACTAGTTTTTTTTGTTATATTTTTTTGTTGGAGAGATAAGTTGTGCTTGAACATCGATAACTAAATATATATCACAAAATTACATGAATAATTTTTAGAGATTGAGCCGTCGTCGTGTCACTGCCGAGGATGAGTCTGAGGACGAGACCTCCGTCCGCGTAGGTGAAGTATCCAAGGAGAAGCATATCAGCAAGCCCGTTGCTGCTGCCATTGTTGCTGCTACTGCTGGTGCCACAGCCGCTGGTGCTGCTGCTGTTGCCGCTGGTATATCTGCAGACCACTCCAAATCCGAAACTACCGATGACGAAACTGTCCGCAAGAGCCGCCCTGGTCGCAGAGCACGCAAGAACAAAAACCGTGAGGGCAGAGAGATCAAGCCTAGAGAGCCAGCAGAGGACTCCAAGACTAGAATCTTTGTTGCAAACCTTCCTTTTGCCACCACAGATGAGGAGCTTGTTGCTATCTTCAAGGGCTACAACATTAAGTCTGCTGCCGTTGCCAGACTCAAGAAGTAAGTCTATATTTGAGAGTCGGGTAGTAAGCCAGTATACTAACCAGATCTTCCAATTCTTGCTTTTTTATTAAAAAAAAAGTGGTCGCTCAAAGGGTTACGGATTTGTGGAGACCGAATCCGAAGAAGAACAGCAAAAGACGCTTGCCAAATTCCAAGATATCGTCTTGGATGGACGCACTGTTTCTCTCAAGGTTGCTCGTGTAGAGCGCCCCAGAAAGGTCAAGGAAGCTACTTCCGAGACTGACGAACAAAAGTCTGCCCCTGCTACTGAGGTCAAGCCCACCGAGACCGCAAAAGCTGTCGAGCCCAAGAAGACGGAAACAAAGCCTACCGAAGTAAAGAAAGAAGAGGCCAAGTCTGTCGAGGTAAAGAAGGAGGTAAAGCCTGTTGAGGTAAAGAAGGAGGAGGGAAAACCTGTCGAGGTCAAGAAGGAAGAGACCAAGCCTGTCGAGGTCAAGAAGGAAGAATCAAAGCCTGTCGAGGTCAAGAAGGAGGAGGCCAAGCCTGTCGAGGTCAAGAAGGAAGTTAAGCCTGTCGAGGCAAAGAAGGAAGTTAAGCCTGTCGAGGTAAAGAAGGAGGAGGCACCCAAGGCCTCAAAATAAGATAATTCAAACTGTGCAGCTATTAGAGCCATCATTGCGATAAACGAGTTGTACATAGAGAGATTTAATTGAATGAAATTTTTGTACTTTACACCTTTCAAATACAAATACACACACACACACACACAAGCAAAAATCTAAGTTTTTGCCTTTCTTTTTTATTTATCATTAAAAATATATATATATCAAAAAAAACAAAAACAAAACAACGAATTAATGTTGATACTGTGATGAATTTAAATTTATTGTAAGGATGTGTACATGAGCATTTATAGTTAATAGGCAAAATAATAATAAGAGAATATATTGAAGGCAAGGGAGAAGGGGGAGGGTGGGAGGGGGGGATATCTACAAGAAAATACAATGACCTTTTCATAATATCACTCTTCGTCTTTGGTCTTTTCAGAATCAAAAAAACGAAGTTTCTTCTTCTTCCTATTCTTATCCATTCTCTCACTCACAGCCCTAGCCTGCTCTTCTTGTGCTTTGAGCTTGTCATGCATAGCGGTCAAATAATCAATCATCTCTTCATTCTCTCGCAGAAAGAATAAAGAAGATCGACCTGAAGACATTGATGCCAATTCCTCCATACTAATCGTAAATGTAGTAGTTGTGGACGGACAATTGTGACTTGTTGTTGTGCCAGGCGGGGCTGGTGGGTTAAATGGTTCTAATTCCATCATATGGCGGGCCACCAGTTCACCATGAGCATCTTCAGCATTAGCTACCAACAATAACAACAACAAGAGAAATAAAAGTCAAAAAAATGAGCAAATTAATTCTGCTAAATGAAAAACCATTTCTTCCTTAAATAGCGTGTAAAGTGTTCAACTTTGGACCTGTTCAATTGTCATTGTTATTACCTTCATTAGCTTCTTGTTCTTCTGGCGTACAAAAGAATTGAGACATAAACGATCGACGTTGGTTCTCTTCTAGACCCATCAACGGCATGTGCATTGAAAAGAATACATTGTGAGCAAATTCGTTTGTGGGGATATCCACAATAGGCATAAATTGTTGTTCGCTTTGGACATGGGTCTCATTTAGCTTGTCGGATCGACTTGGAGTGGTGATGAAAGGCTTTCTACTTTTTTGGTTACGATTATCGCTATTATTGCTGTTGCTGTTGCTGTTGCTGTTGCTGCTGCTATATGATGATGAATTGCGGGTACAGGCAACTGGACCCGGGCGCTTGAATAACAGAGCAAGTCTGGGGCGAGTAATAGGATACATGAAGAAGAGGTTTGTGCGCTCTTGGAAATAAGAAAAGAAAAAAATGATTCGATGTTTTACGCTGAGTCTCAAACCTTTTTTTTTCTTTTTTTTTCTTTTTTTTCTTCCTTCTTTTTACCCTTCTTTAAATCAAAAGAAAGCACTACAGCTGCTATTATCTTTATCTGTTTATTTGATCCTGATGTTTCTATATAAGACAATTATGCAACCTAATTATTGACTCGGCTATTAGTCCGTAATTACATAATAGATAGTACTAAAGATCGATCTGATAACACAACAAAAGAAGAAGAGGAAGAGATCAACCAAACTTTCTATTTATTTAATGAAACGAAATATAATGTCGTAGAATAGAAATAGAAGTAGTCAATTAGAAGGAGACCAAGGTAGAAATGAAGCAAGGGTGAAATAAAGTATATGGTAAACTAAAGTCATTTAAAGGGCACAAAAGTAAACCTGGATAGAATAAATAAAATATAAAGATTTGAAGCAGAAAACTGAAAAGAAAAGGAGGAATGTTTAAATGTCTAGAAGATTTGCTTCATTCTCTTTTATCCCATGTACATGGAGCTCACACGCTTGGTTCTGTCATTCTCTTTCTCAGTGAAAGTCTTGGGTGCGGTTTGAGTAGGTGCAGATGTTTGCTCAACACAGTACCTGGGGAACACACCCAGTTCATTTCCCCTGGATAGGTTAATGCCCCGGCACCAGCCATCGTCAAACTCCATCAGCATATTGACGCGATCTCCAGGCTGGATCTCCAGTTCATCACTAAGGGTAGGCATGTACGTCGTCATTACAGTAAATATGCCGAGGGATTCGTTCTCAGAGTCATTGATGTAAGGATCCATGGCAGGGATCGGTTGAGCAGCAACCTTTTCAGTGGAATATGTATTCAAAGGGGCGGCAGCGGCAACCAGGGTGGGTGTCATGGTTGCATAAGCAGAAGGATTGTTAAACGAGGACATTGATTCGTGAGGAGGAGGATTATGACTTCCAAAACCCATGGTGAAAGGATCAGGTTTCAAGTTCTTGGGCACACCGCGAGCCTTTCTCTTGCGACGCACCATCACAAATGCAAGTGCACCAACTACTACGACACATACAGCAGCGATAATGCCACCAACTGCTCCCGATGACATGCCTGATGAAGCAGTTTCAGATTGGGCAGAATTGCTTATCGCACCAGCACCAGTGCTAGAGGGCGAGGCAGATCCTGATACAGTGTGTGCGACTACACCAGAGCCAGTGGCTGAATTTGCAGAACCACTTTCGTGGGCCTTGGCTCCAGAACTGGCAGTCGAACTGGCTTTGGAAGAAGCGCTCTTCTTGGTAGTCGTAGTTGGGTGAGCACTCTCTTTGGTGCTCTCTTTGGTGCTTTCCTTGGCAGCTTCCTTTGCAACCGTAGTATGCTTAGCGGTGGTGGTGGTGGTGGGGGTAGGTGTGGGGGTGGATTCTGCTTTAGAGTGTGTTGACTCTATTATGTACATAATAATATTATTGTTATTATTGTTATTATTATTACAGTCATAAAATCAGTGAATTTTTGTGTGTGATTATTTTTCGCAATTATTTTTTGCGATTTTTTTTCTTGTAAAATTATTTACCTGCATGCTTGGAAGAGGCAGCTGAAGCTTCACTGGATTCTGCACGTTTGTTGAACACTTCGTGTCTGTCGTTAGCTACCCAGAGAGGTGAGGCGTGAACATTGGTGATGACGGTCGAAATGGTGGCCAAGATGGTGACAAGTTGGAAGGAATGTTGAGCCATTGTTGTAAAGTAATAGCCGTAATGTGGGAAAGGAAGGGTATGGGCGGACGGCTAATAGCACTCGATAGCCGTTGTTGATTTATGTTTTTGTGTGTTTTTTAGTGAATGTAATAGAAAGACTGCCGTTAGTCCTGTTGGAGGAAGAGGGAAAGGAGAGGGAGGTAAAGAAAGGAAGAGGATGGGGCTCGGACTGGGCAAAAGGGAATGGACTAATACAAGGAGAACTTGGCTATATAATCTTTAAAAAGAAAAAGGAAAGGCAAGAGTTTCTATAGTGTTGCACAAGTCCATTACGAACGTGCCACGGACAAAAGGATCCACCAAATGTATACATCAATAATTTCACGTAGATCCCTTTTTTATTTTTACAAAGGTGATACAACTGATTTGAATTATACATTGGCTATCTACCAAGAGGTGTAGTTTACTCGGATTTCGATGGGCACAAAATAATGTTCATGTTCATGTTTGTGGCAACGTTTTAGTTTGGCAGCTTCCTAATTTTCAAATACCTGGTACTTGGTCCAGATAGGGATGTAGACACCTCCAGTGCTTGCTTGTCTTGGGTACACATGAAACGGAGTCCATTCTAGCTGATCAAATTAAATAAACGAGATCGGATACCAAGATTTTCAAATGGCCTTGATTTACTCCAGCTGCATGGTCCACCTCTTTAATTATGTAGAAAACTTGGTTGTAATTGAACGTAATAAATATTTCCTCCCTCTTGAAAATAATAACAATAATAATAAATACCGTTATACCCGCTTTGTCCTTTCTTCATCACACTGTGTGTGCATTCCGGGCGGCGCTCATTGTATAAAAATAATCATAATAAAAACGTGAATCTGGACTGACCGAATTTAGAGCACATCACCGTGCAAACCCAGAGAGAATAAGGCTGGCTCATCTTGAACCACGCTATTGATTTTACTTTCCAATAAACAATACAAAAAAAAACTTGAACCACGGCAAAGATTCTGAGAAATTTAAGTCCGTTTTTTAATGTATATTGATGAAACATTGCTAATAAAGAATTCCTTGGTTTGTGTCCATCTTTTAGTCTTCATTATTTGTTTTTATTTTTTTCTTTTGCTTTATTGTTCATAGAGTTCTTGTGAATTAGTAGAATATAATGATTGAAGACCCTGCGTATTTCACTAACATTCAAAGCGGAATAATAACTAAAGACCCTAATCATGATCGAGCTGAAACGATTGGACAAGATTCAAAACATAGGCTAGTTAAGTAAATTTTGTTTGGTATTACGCTCCAGATACCCAAACACAGTATCCAAAAAAAAAACAGGTCAGTAAAGCATTGAGATGTTTTTGTCTAAAACATACGAAATAAACCTTTATCCCTGGAATATCAAGTGCGAAAGCAAATAATCTATTGTTGTTTCGCACAATCTAGCTTGTTAATATAAGGTCTATTTCATGGGGCACGACGATTAAAATGGCGTCCGAAGGCATGAATAAGCTGTCAAGTAGTAATGCATTACCATCAAGCTAAAATAAAATATGACAAAATATGCACCCGCCAACAAGACATCTATTGATGTAGGCATGTAAAGAGAAACAACTGAAAACTATATTCGAAACATCAAAATAATACACACCCTCGGTTTCAATTTCTGGACGATTTGTTTTGTGCGTATTGAAACAGAATAACGAACTCAGTGCAATAATAACGATAACAATTAGACGTTCTAAAATACACTGTCAAATATTTAGGTATAAAACCAATACCCTGTATTCAAGAATAAGAATATTCTGCAAACCGCTCTATAAAGCAAATGAGGAAATAACTGGACATGCAGATGGCAATACAGACGGTCCAAGTTTACCCCCTGCCTGGGTGGTAAAAACAATTATATTTTGATGTATGATCGCATTATATGTGCACCTACTTTATTACAATTCATCGTAATTTGCATATCATTTTCTTTACAATTGAATTATGCCATATTATATTATATTTATTTATTATCACTATTATAATAATAATAATAATAATAATAAAAAAGAATAAACAGGCTTTGAAGCCTTCAGGGTGACGCACCTTAAAATACAAATCAGTGCATTGGCGTAACCATATGTCGTACCAAGATATTCCTAGAGTATCTTGTAGGATGCTTCTACACAACGAAAGTATAAACTTTGATCATTGTACAAAGAGACCAGTCATCTTGCTTTATTTTCACACAAAAAAAAAGTCAAGAGATTACAAGGGAGAACGTCAATCGGGTGTCAATGCTAATTACACCCAGACACACACACATATATATATATACGTTAGTTTATTTATCCGTTCAAAGTAGCTTAAAGTAGCTTAACGTAGTATAAGAAGAAGAATCTTACATAGTACACACTCTATTTACCGTCATGGGTCTTACTATTCTTGCTCAATACACTTGCACAGGATGTGTATTACACAGTACAATGTACAATTCAGAAAATAATGTAGATGAAACTAAACACTTCTTTTTATTTATTTTTCATTTTGACAAGAGTCAGAGGATTAAATTATATAGGCTTATTCTTACTCTCATATAAATATGTGTTTCTCTACCGATAATCTATTTAATAAAGTATATATATACATATTTAAAGAAATATATATATTGCTGAAAGGGCTTAAAAAAATAAAGGTGGCTCATGGATAAAGTGTAACAGTTGTAAACCATTTTTTGCTTAGAAAAGGAATCACAACAAACTTCGCACTAATTGTTTGATTGACAAAGATATACAAATATAACATTATTAATTGAACACACATCATTACAACCTATAGTGTGCTGTGGTATACTCTAGTGTACTGATATATCTCTTCTTTAATGGTCAAACATTTTTATCACTTTAGACTTCATTAGACAAGATAGCATGGGGAAAAGGATGTGTATTTACAAAAATAATGATAACAATAACAAAAGACTTTTTTTTTCTTTCTTTTTCTTTAGACAATAAAGAAAAGGAAGGTATGTATAATTGTGTCAAGAGATTGCACCTGTTTTCTTCTTCTTTAAAACAGTTCTGGAAGGGCTATTGGTGTGGCCGGGGGGTTGTTTTGTGCATCTCCAGTCAAATTATCAAATGGATATGAATTGGGGCCTATTGGTTGTACAGAGGGGGGAAAGATGGTAGAACCAAAAGTTGCCAAGGTGTGGTTTAGAGCTGCCATGTGAGAGTGCTCAATGTGGTATTTGAGACCGTTTAGGTTCTTGTAGCGCTTGCCACATTCACCAATTGTACACTGGTAAGGTTTTGAGGCAACATTTTCACTTTCATCCGACACTAGATTGCAGTGACCATGTTGATTGTGGTATTTGAGACCGTTTGGATTCTTGTACGCTTTGTCGCAACCAAAGACTGGACACTTGTAGGGTTTATCAGCGTTTGAATCTAAATAGAAGTCAAAAAGGTTAATGATGCTATTTTTATATCTATAAGATTGGTGACATGTGAACATACTTGTGTTGGCAGTTGCCAGTAAAGCACCTGCCTGCGCCAGGATATCTTCGTCTATTAAGACAGGAGTGGGGAGGTCACTGGTTGAAGAACTTGAGAGCGCAAACTTTTTTGATGTGGGCTGTGTCAAGAGATCAAGCGCATTGGCCGAGCCAACAGTCTGACAGATAGAACGTTTTTTGCCTTGAGACTTTGAAGCAGAATCTTCATCGACAAGCTGTGTGTCGATGAACTCATTTTCTGATGACATGGTAGAAGAAGAAGAAGAGGGGGAAACAGTTGCACTAGAATTATAAAGATCAGATAGATATGCCGCAGCCTTTTTCTTGATTGAATTGATTTTTGGAAGTTGAATGTCTTGAATATCTTGACTGAGGGGATTTGTTGGGGAGTCATCAAAAGAAGTAAGAGAATATGAAGGGGGAGACCATGATTCGTGGTCTTCATCAGAGAGACTAGCATTATCATCCTCTTCTTCTAGACGCACATGGCACTCTTCATAGTGCTGGAGAAGATCATGAAGATCATTAAGGACCAGTCCACAACAAGCGAAATCGCGGCAAAATGAAGCTTCGAGATCGTGTGATTCAAATACATCCTTGACGTTATTCTGAGGGTGATAGAGTTGAAACTCATATGGCCTATAAAAGTAAAGGAACGAAAGTAAAAGGCAAGAAACAAAAGGGGGAAGTGTGTAAGTAAATGAATAGATGAATAAATGAATAAATGTCAGGTACGGATGAGATAACAAAGGACATATTACTTACTCAAAGCTAATGTCTTGTTTGAGGATGTTACTCATGCGACGGGGAGTGTATTCAATAGGAGCTGGCATTATTAAGACAATGGGTCAAAAAGAAGTGAGAAGTGAATAAAAAGAATTAGACGCAAGAAATTGAATGTCTGTATATATATACACTTTCAAAACATCATTGTCACACACGCACTCACACTCACACACACTCACACACAGCGCTTATGAATGCGGAATAAGAAATGCATATTATATATGTATAAAATAAAAATCAAACATCAAAAAATCAAAAAAATAATAATAATAATTCAAGTCATTTACTGGCGACATGGTTAATCTTATTAGGATTTGGGTTAGTGTTAATGTTAGTGTTAGTGTTAGTGTTAGTGTTGGTATTAATTACTCTTCTTAATATCAGGCAAGTATAATTATATATAAATTATTAGAATAAGATATTGTTGCCTTAATAAATCATTTTTTTTCCTCAATATATACAAAAGCTGATCGTTGGATCTGACCTCATGTGAGCAACTTTACTAGTAACGATAGCAACCTGTACTACGGCCTTGTTTCATCTCAGTAGAAAGTCCGTTGCTTGTTTTCATTTCTTATTACCATTGGCTCAATTGGAAAAAGTCTAATCTTGGTCGTTTGACCTGTCCGTCTTGTTGCTTGATCTCGCAAGGATTTCCATATGGTGTGTTGACTCTTGAGTTCAATTGACTACAATGTTTAACAAGAAGTCTTTTTGAATACTTTCTCCGACCCAAATAGTTTGAGTTAGTTAAACTAAGCTTGGAGAGGATTGGTCCATCAATAAACAATCGTTTACATTTCGCAGGAACCAGATTCTTGAGTAGTTTTACTTTTTGATAGTTTAAATGACATCACATTATATAGAGAAAAGGAATCAAAATAAACCAAAAGTAGAACTAAAAAGGTCCGGATCTTCTCCGTTTATATGTCGTCTTCTTTTATTTGGGCTAAAAAAAGAAATTGAAAGAGAAACCTTTTTGACAGTGCTATGTTTTTAATATTTTCTTTTCTGTTCTGGGCATTGGTTCTGATTACCAATTACTTGCATTCCACGAAGAATTACATACAATTGCACACACACACACACACACATACACAAAAAGAATATATAAACATATAGATAATTTACTTGATAGTCATAGTATCAGTGATAATACCAAATTCCCCATTAATTAAAAGAAAGCTATAAATCAAAGGTACATCACATGTAAGCTGCGATACTTGTGAAAGCAATAGGGACTAAGACATCCTTTTGTGTACAAATATGCACGAATACATTATTCACAATTAAACAAAAATAAAAGAGAGTTTTTTTTTGTTTTAAAGCCTAAATTCTGCAGGAGAGCAGATCTCGCATTTTGAACACTTTCTTTTCTATCTCTCTTGCTTTCACACGCGGCGTAAAATAGTAACTACAGACACACATTTGTCGTAGTCATCTGAGAATTTGCTTCTTTAAACAATGTTTTCTTTTTCTCTTTTGCTGCAAATATTACCAAAAGCTTCACTTACCTTGACTATTCGTTTATTTATAGACCAATATATTTTTAAATATCTATTTATCTGTACACATACACAAGTTTAATCAAGCTCACAAGAGAGGAACAGAAAATGACAGTCACCCAATACACTCATTATTGTTCAAACAAACAAACAAACAAACAAAATTATAGCTTTGTCTAAATGTCAGATTCACACCAAAAATTACGTTCTCGGTACCTTTCATTCTGGCTTAATGTAACCAAAGAGATGCCAATGGCAACCCTAGAGATGCATGGCAACACAACTGTCCAAGGAAAGCTGTGTGGAACAGATAGTCAGAACAATCGTTTTCGGATTGACCAACTAGAATCACCTATTGGAGTATATGACCATGTCGTCGTGCGCGGATCTGACGTGAACATTATCACCATTCCTTTGAAATGAATTCACTATTACTATTGTTATTATCATTATGCCGCTCGTCTGTACACAAAATACCTTTACAGGGTCCTAGGATTAAAATAGTAAAAGCTATATATCTTATTTGATGAAATTCAATACTAGTTTGCATTATTATCTCTCAAAATCACCGATTTAAACATCACATTAATACATATATAGACACACACATAAAATGTATAAAATAATATCCGGTTACAAACTATTCATTCAATCAAGTTGTGTGTACATTGCTCAAATAGCTCATGGCCTGTAATTATGTTAATTTTATTAAGCTTAAAATATAAGCTACCCCCAAATTATGGTACTATTTTTGGCATATAATATACCGAACCCTTTATTTATCATCTTTTATATATATATACATTGTATAAATGAATTCATAAAGTCAAATAAGAAATAAGAATAAGAATAAGAATAATATAATTAATAAAAATAAAACGAATATTTACATAAATCTTAAAGGGTTGCAAAATCATAGTCACACGACTATGTCCCGAGTTGCTGGAAGTATCTTGAGTATTCTGATTTTAAACATTCCTTTATGAATCAGAATCAGTATGTAATTACACCTTTAATAAAGCAATATACATAGATATGATTTTAGGGACCCAAGTACTTTATTCTTATATGCTTAATAATAAAATCATTATTTTCAAAGCAAAGACTCTGAATATTTGGTAAGTTTATTAAATATTAATAAAAATAAATAAGAATCTAATCTTTATCGTTATCTTCAGACCTTTACTTTCAAGATATCAGATTAATATACAGGCATTTAGATCTGTAATAAATCTGTGTAAATAGGATTGTTAGACATAGATTTAAATTTTATCAGTACGTCAGTACGTCAGTACAAGACAGCAATTAACCCTTGTCACAAATAGACGGTTGGCATATAATATTATTACTGATATTCTTAAACAATAATTGCTAATTAAAAATCTGATAAAATTTATACATGTAAGAATAAGAAGTTACACACATACCACTAGGATATTATTATTATTTTTATTATTTTAAAAAAGGATTTAAAAAAGTGCATTCAAGCGTGTTTTAATTCGGAAAATTCTTAATGTAACGTTACTCTGGCTACACTATAAAATATATATAAAAATTGACTTATAGTATGTGCGTGTGTGACTATTTGAATACACAGTCAATTTTTTTCATATCCTTTTTTTTTGTTGGTTTAAATAAATATATATATATATATATATATATCTACATATGTCCCAAAAACAAGCCACAACTATCTGATCTTCAGAAACATATTGGTAGATAAGATATACACCAACGGAAGTACAGCTTGGTACCTTTCGAAAATCGATCATTGTAAAATAAAATAAAGTTATACTTTACAAACCTATTGCTGGGCTGTAACTGATTACTTTGAACCTGAGTTGTGGTGTATGCGTTTTGCAGCTTTTTTTTTTGTTCTTTCTCTCTTGGTCAAAGATCACGTGCCTTGCCAACTTATTTGATGAAAAATTTGGTTCGCTTTGGGACTAACTAGATTTTCTTGCTTGATCGATTGTAAAATTAAATAGATATACTACATTTGTAAATATAATTATATCTATCCATCTATCTTATTTATTTTTATTTATAATTCATATTCTATTCAATTTTTTTTTAGAATATATATGTACGTTTTGATCGGTCTGTAATATCTCGATCCGTTTGATATCTGAGGGTTGAATCGGTTGTCAAAGTTGAAAGTCTTGCTGTCAAGAACATCTTAAAGAGTCATTGATGACTCACAAATCTACACAGTAAAGTAAGTGTACGTACCTCGAGTTACACTTGTGTTTCAATTGGTTTTCGGAATTACTTGTAATCTATGAAAAGGGCTGAGATTAGTTTGGCACAAAGCAAAGACCGCAGTCCTATTTTACTCTTCTAGTCGATTCAATTGGCCAGCACGGTAGCCGGGCACGGGGATTAACTGCCAAGAATTATTCATTGGGCAATAAAAAAAAAACAAAAAAAAAAGGAGAGAAAGAAAGGAGACAGATTACTTAAACCGTGTGACTGGACTGTCTTCCGGAGTAAGAAAAAATAAACAAGCGAAATTTTTTTTTTTCAATGAAGGAGAGACGCCTATAAAAACCACGTCTTCCTTGAAGCAATGAACGTCTCAGCTCCCTTGGCTGACGATTCCTGGAATACCCTTTTTCAAATAAAAACCACCCCTTCTTCTTTATATTTACTCTCTGTTCCCGCGTGAACACCCATTTACGAAAGACACTCAATCAAACAAAAAAGTAATTGTTATTGGCGTTTTGTGTGTCTTTGTGTGTACTATAATTGAGATCAAAGTTTCTAACGACCCATATATAAAATATAATATATAATACATATATGTATGTGTCTGTGTGTCTGTGCGTATTTGCTCATCAAAGGCTTTCTCAAAGAACAGCAAGCATCTGTACATTTATATATAAGCAAAACACAAGCATCACATAGACTCTAAAAACAAAAATGGCATCAAACATCCCTATTCCTCCTGTCACCGCTGCTGGCACTGCACATAATACAAGCTTGGGCGCTCGCATTTTGGCTCCTGCTGCCAATGCTACCCCACTTCCCCTCACTCCCCGATCTCCATCTGCTCCTCATCGTGCTGTAACTGCAGTCGATAACCCCAAAGATGTCACAACAGCTGCTCTGGTTCTGCAGGACGGAGCAAGCTATCAGGGTATTTCATTTGGCTCAGAAACAAAGAGCATTTCTGGAGAGTGTGTCTTCCAGACTGGTAAGTTTTTTTTTTGGTTTTATATTGTCCAAAAAAAAGTTCGCCTGTTTAAACCTAGTCAATGATTAGGTATGGTTGGCTACCCTGAGTCATTGACCGATCCCTCTTACCGCGGTCAAATCCTTGTCCTTACATTCCCTCTCGTCGGTAACTATGGTGTTCCTGACCGCAAGGTTATGGACGAAATCCTCGAGGGTATCCCCAAATACTTTGAGTCTTCAGAGATCCACGTTGCCGGTCTGATCGTCGGCAACTATGCCGCTGACTACTCCCACTTCTTGGCTTCTTCCTCTCTCTCAACCTGGCTCAAGGAGAATGATGTCCCTGCTATCTATGGTATTGACACCCGTGCCTTGACCAAGAAAATCAGAACCCAGGGTGTTCTTCTCGCAAAGATCTTGTTCCCCAAGACCACCGTCTCTGTGTTAGACTCCGCTGCATCTGCCCTTGGTCTCACAAAGAACGTCTCAGCTGAGCGTTGGATGCAAGAATATCAGGATGTTGACTGGGTTGATCCCAACAAGCGCAACTTGGTCGCCGAGGTTTCCATCAAGGAGCCCAAGCTCTACAAGCCCGACCCCAAGAAGGCCCTCAAGACCCCCTGTGGTACTCGCACTATCCGTGTCATTGCTGTTGATGTCGGTATGAAGTACAACCAGATCCGTTGCTTCGTTTACCGTGGTGTCGAGCTCAAGGTTGTTCCCTGGAACTACGATTTCACCGCCGAACCTGTTGATTCTTATGATGGTCTCTTCCTTTCCAACGGTCCTGGTGACCCCACCACGGTCCAGGCCACCATCAACAACGTACGTACCGTGCTCAAGAACACCAAGAAGCCAATCTTCGGTATCTGTCTCGGTCACCAGATCTTGGCCCTTGCTGCTAACGCCAAGACCATCAAGATGAAGTACGGTAACCGTGGTCAAAACATTCCCTGTACCAACTCTATCTCCGGTCGCTGTTACATAACATCTCAGAACCATGGTTATGCTGTTGATACCACCACTCTCCCCGCTGATTTCGAGGAGCTCTTTGTCAATGCCAACGACGGCTCAAACGAAGGTATCATCCACAAGACTCTTCCCATCTTTTCTGTCCAGTTCCATCCCGAATCTACTCCAGGACCTCGCGACACAGAGTTCCTCTTTGATGTCTTTATCAATAGCATCAAGGACTGTCTTGCTGAGAAGAAACTTGTTCCTGTCAAGATGCCCGGAGGTCTCAAGGCCGACAACATTGCCAAGAACCCCCGTGTTTCGGTTAACAAGGTTCTCGTTCTCGGCTCCGGTGGTTTGTCCATTGGTCAGGCCGGTGAATTCGATTATTCTGGTTCCCAGGCTATCAAGGCCTTGAAGGAAGAAGGCATCTACACCATCTTGATTAACCCCAACATTGCCACAATTCAAACTTCCAAGGGTCTCGCCGATAAGGTCTACTTCTTGCCCGTCACACCTGATTTCGTTCGCAAGGTCATCGAGTTCGAGAAGCCTGATGGTATCTACGTCACATTTGGTGGTCAGACTGCTCTCAACGTTGGTATCAAGCTTAAGGATGAGTTCGAGTCTCTTGGCGTCAGAGTTCTCGGCACCCAGATCGATACTGTCATCACCACCGAAGATCGTGATTTGTTTGCTCAGGCCTTGTCTGAAATCAACGAGAAGTCCGCTCCTTCTGCCTCTGCCGTCAGCATCCCTGAGGCTCTTGCTGCTGCAAAGCAGATCGGTTACCCTGTCATTACTCGTGCTGCTTATGCCCTCGGTGGACTTGGCTCTGGTTTCGCCGACAACGAACAGGAGTTGATCGCCCTTTGCAACAAGGCCTTTGCCACCTCTCCTCAGGTTCTGGTCGAGAAATCGATGAAGGGCTGGAAGGAAATCGAGTATGAGGTCGTTCGTGATTGCCAGGACAACTGTATTACTGTCTGTAACATGGAGAACTTTGATCCTCTTGGTATTCACACCGGTGATTCCATTGTTGTCGCTCCTTCCCAGACATTGTCTGATGAGGATTACAACATGCTCCGTACCACTGCTGTCAATGTCATCCGTCACTTGGGTGTTGTTGGCGAATGTAACATCCAGTATGCTCTTAACCCCTTCTCCAAGGAGTACTGCATCATTGAAGTCAACGCTCGTCTCTCGCGTTCTTCTGCTCTTGCTTCCAAGGCTACCGGATACCCCCTTGCTTTCGTCGCTGCCAAGTTGGGTCTCGGTATTCCTTTGAATGAGATCTCAAACAGTGTCACCAAGGTTACCTGCGCCTGTTTCGAGCCTTCACTCGATTACGTTGTTGTCAAGATCCCCAGATGGGATCTCAAGAAGTTTAACCGTGTCAGCACCGCTTTGAGCTCTTCCATGAAATCTGTCGGTGAGGTCATGGCCGTTGGTAGAACCTTTGAGGAAACTATCCAAAAGGCTATCCGCGCTATCGATTACAACTTTGTTGGTTTTAGTGCCGTAAGTAAACATTTAGTTCTGTGAGCAAAACCAATTGTACTAAAAAAAAACAAACATCTTCCAAAAAATATTATTAGAACGACTATGTTGACAACACTAACCTTGATGATGAGCTCCGCAACCCCTCTGACCAGCGTTTGTTCGCTATTGCCAATGCCATGAACGATGGTTACACTGTCGATCGTATTTGGGAATTGACCAACATTGACAAATGGTTCTTGAACAAGTTGATGCGCATCGTTAACCTTGACAAGCGTCTCGAGGGTTTCTCCAAGGCTAACATTCCCGGAAACATGATCCGCTCTGCCAAGCAGCTTGGTTTCTCCGACCGTCAGATCGCTAACAAAATTAACAGCAATGAATTGGCTGTCCGCAGACTTCGTCAGGAATATGGTGTAACACCATTTGTCAAGCAGATCGATACTGGTAAGTTTTTAATTTTTTATCACTAATAGAAATAGTAGCAATAGTAATATGATACTTATAATATACATATATAGTCGCTGCCGAGTTCCCTGCTTTCACCAACTACCTTTACATGACCTACAATGCTGTTGAGCACGATATCACCTTTGATGACAATGGTATTATGGTTCTCGGTTCGGGTGTGTATCGTATTGGTTCTTCTGTCGAGTTCGATTGGTGTGCTGTTCGCGCTATCCGTACCCTTCGCGAAAAGGGTATCAAGACGGTCATGGTCAACTACAACCCCGAAACTGTGTCCACTGATTATGATGAGGCCGATCGTCTGTACTTCGAGAACATCAACATGGAACGTGTCCTCGATATCTATGAAATTGAGCGTTCTTCCGGTGTCTTGATGGCTATGGGTGGTCAGACCCCCAATAACATCGCTCTTCCTCTTTACCGCCAGAACGTCAAGGTCCTTGGTACTTCCCCCGAGATGATCGACAACGCCGAGAACAGATACAAGTTCTCTCGTATGTGCGATCAGATTGGTGTTGACCAGCCCCAGTGGAGAGAGCTTACCTCCTTTGATGAGGCCGAAAGCTTCTGTAACAAGGTCGGGTACCCTGTACTCGTTCGTCCTTCTTACGTCTTGTCTGGTGCTGCCATGAACGTTGTATTTTCTAAGGATGATCTCGAGTCTTACCTTAAGGAGGCTGCTGCTGTATCCCGCGACCACCCCGTTGTTATCTCCAAGTACATTGAGGAAGCCAAGGAAATTGAGATGGACGCTGTTGCTTTAGACGGAAAGATGATCATGCACGTTGTCTCTGAGCACATTGAGAACGCTGGTGTTCACTCCGGTGATGCCACTCTTGTGTTGCCTCCCCAGGATTTGGACCCCGAGACCGTGCGCAAGATTGAGATTGCCACCGCTAAGATTGGTCGTGCCCTCAATGTCACCGGTCCTTTCAACATTCAATTCATTGCCAAGGATAATGAGATCAAGGTTATTGAGTGCAATGTCCGCGCTGCTCGTTCCTTCCCCTTCGTGTCCAAGGTTACTGGTGTCGACTTGATCGAGATGGCTACCAATGCCATGCTTGGTCTTCCCGTCACTCCTTACCCCAAGGTTAACATTCCCAAGGATTATGTTGGTGTAAAGGTTCCTCAGTTCTCTTTCAGCCGCTTGTCTGGAGCTGATCCCGTTTTGGGTGTTGAGATGGCTTCCACTGGTGAAGTCGCCTGTTTCGGCAAGGACAAATATTCTGCTTACCTCAAGGCTCTTGTCGCCACTGGATTCACTTTGCCTAAGAAGAACATCTTGTTGTCTATCGGTTCTTACAAGGAGAAGCAGGAAATGCTTCCTTCTGTAAGAAAGCTCCACGAACTTGGATACACTATTTTCGCTACCGCTGGTACTGCCGATTTTATCCAGGAGCACAACATTCCTGTCAAGTACCTCGAGGTTTTGGATGGTTCAGGTGATGATACTCTCAAGGCTGAGTACTCTCTCCAACAACATCTGGCCAATAACTTGATTGACTTGTACATCAACTTGCCTTCTCGCAACCGTTACCGCCGCCCTGCTTCTTACATGTCCAAGGGTTACCGTTCCCGTAGAATGGCCGTTGACTATGACATTCCTCTTTTGACCAATGTCAAGTGCGCCAAGGTCTTTATTGAGGCTCTTGCTCGCAACCCCAGTGGCTCGTACGAGATTCTCGGTATCGATTACAAGACCGGTCACACCACCGCAACCTTGCCAGGTCTCTTCAACATCAACGCTTTCTTGCCCAAGGGTCAGGACTTTGGTGCTGTCTCCAAGGCATCCGTCTGCGCTGGTTTCACCACCTTATCCGCTGTCGCTCAAGATGTTATCAACACATCTTCCTTTGAGTCCACCCACGTTGCTGCTCACAAGTCTGCCCACACTGATTATATCCTCAACGTGATTGCCACCACTGAGAATGCTTCACAGCTTGCTTCTCTTGCTGCCGATGCTGGTGCCGTTTATATTAACACCGACAAGATCGGCAGTGGTCAGGTTTCTGTCTTTGACTCTGTCTTCTCTTCATGGCCCAACTCTCACTTGATCATTACTGATGCTAGAGGTACCGACCTTGCTTCGATTTTGTTGCTTGCATCCCTCCACAATAGTGTCATCCACGTTTCCAATGTGATCAACAAGAGTGATCTGGCTTTGATTGAGATGAGCAAGAAGAAGGGACTTGAGGTGTCTTGCGATGTCTCCGTCTACTCTCTTTTCTTTGCTTCCGAGGACTTTAACAACACCAAGCTTTTGCCTACCAAGGATGATCAGGCAGCTTTGTGGAAGAGTCTTGATGTCGTCGACTGTTTCTCGATTGGATCCACTCCCAGCAAATTGGCCCAAGAATTGGGTAAGCCTGTTACCAAGATCGAGGGTATCAATGAAACACTTCCTCTTCTTTTGGATGCTGTTTCCAAGGGTCGTCTCCAGCTCAAGGATATTTCTGACCGTCTTTACGAGAACCCTCGCCGCATCTTTGGCTTGGTTGCTCAGCCCGAGACTTTCATTGAGGTTGAGGTCGACCGCCAGCACGTCTGGGCTACTGATGCCTCTACATGGTCTCCTCTTTCTGGTCGCACCCTTTATGGATCTATCTCTAGAGTCGTGATGAACGAGAAGACTGTCTTTATGGATGGTACCTTCTCTTCCGATGGTACCCATGGTCGCAACATCTCTGCACAGGTCCAGGCCGTCAAGTCTTCCACCAAGGACTCCCAGAACAGCAAGCTTGAAAACGCTCTTTCTGCTCCTAAGAAGACCGAGAAGGCTATCCGCGCCTCCGCCGAAGATTCAATCAAGTTGGCCGGTTCAGAGAACCAGCAGTTGGTGTCTTATGAAGCTCAAACCTACGAGCTCTCTGCTTCACTCTCACGTGTTGTCAGCCGTTCTCCCTTCTACAACAAGCACATCTTGCGTGCAAAGCAGTTTGACCGCAATGATTTGCATTTGTTGTTCGGTGTTGCTCAGGAGATGCGTACTTTGGTTGAGCGTTATGGATCAATCAACTTGTTGCAGGGTCGTGTCATGACTACCATGTTCTTCGAGCCCTCGACCCGTACTTCTTCCTCGTTCGAGGCTGCTATGTACCGCCTTGGTGGTAAGGTTGTCGCTGTCAGTGCCACCACATCTTCAGTCCAGAAAGGCGAGTCCCTTGCTGATACTGTTCGCACTCTCGGATGTTACGCCGATGCTATCATTCTCCGTCATCCTCAGGCTGGTAGTGCCCAGATTGCTGCCAAGTACTCCAAGGTTCCTGTTATCAACGCTGGTGATGGTATTGGAGAGCATCCTACTCAGGCTTTCTTGGATGTATTTACCATCCGTGAAGAACTCGGTACTGTCAATGGTTTGACCATCACTATCGTTGGTGATCTCAAAAACGGCCGCACTGTCCACAGTCTTGTGAAGCTTCTTGCTTACTACCAGGTTACAATCAACTATGTCTCGCCCGAGTCTCTCTCTATGCCCGCTGATTTGATGGAGGAGATCAAGGAAGCTGGTGTTACCCAGAACGTTTACCGCACTCTCGACGATGTCATTGGAACCACTGATGTTCTTTACATGACTCGCGTCCAGAAAGAACGTTTCTCTACTGAGGAGGAATACAACCGTGTCAAGGATGCCTTTATTATCAACAACGATGTATTGAGCAAAGCTCAGGCTCACACTCTTGTCATGCACCCTCTTCCCCGTATCAACGAGATTGAGCCCGAAGTTGACTTTGACCAAAGAGCCGCTTACTTCCGCCAGATGCGTTATGGTCTCTTTGTTCGCATGGCTCTCTTGGCCTTGGTTATGGGCACCCTTCGCGATTAAGTAAAGATCGAACCATTTAGACTATTATCATTATTATTGTCATAAAACAAAGCAAAGAAAAACCTATTTATTGGTTTTGGATACAAATTGTAGAAAAAAAAAGCATAATGCATTCTCATATCTATAAAAATAAATTATTATTGTTTCAATTTCTTTAAAAAAAAAGAAAGCTATTCATTGTAGATTTGAAACTGTTATTTCAATTGATGTCATTCCTCGAATTAAAACAATTCTCATGTAGCTATTCTTGATGGGTATGGAGTGACTGTACTGAGACTTATTCAAACTTAATTGTGAATCTCACTCCCTCTTTGTTTATTTATTCATTTAACTTTAAAAAGATTAATGATTTAAAGTACCAATTACAGGGAATTATAGACGTATTTTATCAATTGATGGGATTTTATCATTAATTCATACATGAGTATACCTCAATTTCAATTTCAATTTCAATTCCTTTTAAATACCTAACATTCAGATAAAGAGCAAAATGTCTTTACACACACACACACATATATATATATATATCTTCATGCAAATCAGCCCTTTTTTATTGTTCCTGCTTTCTAACCAACAGTCGCGTGTAACATTGATGTTTCGCGTGGCATCTTGAAATTTGCTACACACATTTCAACACATTTAGAGAATAATACTCATATTTATCTAAAGAGAAAAATAGGAAGAAGTATCGAAATATCATAAAAGCTGTAATTTTAGATTCTTATTAATGCTCAAGGTCTTGAACCTACAAATCACAAAAAAAAAAATATAATCTACACATCCAATAATAAAAATTAAAATAAAATAGAATAGAACATTAAAAAAAAAAACGAAAAGTGGAAGAAAAGACAGTGTGCTGACGTCATTAGAAGTCCAAGAACGGGATTTTTTATATTAGACGCGAGACAGCGCTTTTTTTTTGGCAGACGTGCCTTGCACTTGCATTAAAGCGATCGGTCATGGCCAGCATACAAATTGATGCAAAGCGGTTCCACAAACGGGCCAGATTCTTGATCTCGCAATGGAAGGTATGAATTAATTGTTTTTCTTTATCTCTTCTCTAGAAGATTGTAATGTGGAAGAGAATCCAATATTTCAATTCCTACTTGATTATCAAAGATATCAGGTTAAACTTCAATTCCTACACTCATCGTACAATAATCAAGCGATTGATTCATTTTTATCATTCTAAAAAATAAATTGAACAGAGTCCTACGAATTCAGAACTATTCCAAGACACCGATGCTATTCTTTTGCTCGTCGGTGATGAAGATTACGAGAATCCTTACCGAAAATCTGTCACTGCGCAGGCAAGTTCTTTTTTTTTGGATCTGTCATTGTGATCATCAATTGGCTGACAGAAAGACATCTATGTAGACATGGCTTCTTGGATTCCCAATCTTCCAGTCTTTGATCCTCCTTACTCCTGAAAAGATCACATTTGTGTGCAGCATGAAGAAGGGTAAACTTGCATACTACATCTACATCATTAACAAAAAAAAAGAGAGAGAGAAAAAGTTTTTTTTATACTGTAAAAAAAAGAGAAAAAGAAACTGTACTGAGACTAAATTATATTTTATTTCTTCAAGGTGATGTGATTGAGACTATCAAACAGGGCGATAAACAGGTTCCTGTTGATATAATTCGCCGCGGAAAGAACACTGAAGAAAACGTTCAATTGTATATTCCATTGATCGAAGAACTGAGTGGGGTAAAATAGAAAATTTTATTTAAAAATCTAAAAAAAAAGATGTGCGAGATTTAAGGAAGCTCATGATGATTTTTGTGTTTAGAAACGTGTGGGTGTTATTGCCAAAGACAAATTTACCGGAAAGAATGTGGATGAATGGACAAAGGCTCTCAAGCAATCAGGAAAGAAGTTTGATGAGGTTGATGTTGGTACTGCAATCTCAGCATGCTTGGCAGTCAAAGATGAAGAAGAAGTGGTATGCATAATACTTGTGTCAGTATGCCAGGTCGACTAAATTAAAGTGATATTAGAGAACTATGCGTACTGCAGCCAAGCTTAGTTCCAATGTGATGAAGTATTACTTCATGGACGAAATGGCTACCATTGTAGACGAGGAAAAGTCTGTAACACACGAGAAACTCTCGGCTCAAACTGAAGATGTATTGGAGAATCCCAAAATGGCAAAGGTGCTTCGTATGCCCTCTGAAGTAAGTGTTTTTTTTTATCGAAAAGGAATAGCATATTTGGTATTAAAAAGTTAATTTGTCATAATTTAACAATAACAATAACAAAAGGTTGACAACAAAGACGACCTCGACTGGTGTTACAGCCCCATCATTCAGAGTGGTGGTGTGTATGATTTGAAGTCTTCTGCTGCATCGAATTCTGACACACTTCATCCTGGTGTTATCATTTGCTCACTCGCTGTTCGCTACAAATTCTATTGCTCCAACATTGGACGAACCTTTTTGATCGATCCCAGCAAAACACAAGAAAAGAATTACGAATTTTTAGTTGATCTTCAAAGTCGCGTAATGGATACTATCAGAGATGGCGTCAAAATCAAAGATGTCTATTTGAAGGCTTTGAGTCACATCAAGGCAAAGCGCCCTGATCTCGAAAAACATTTTACAAAGAACGTTGGTTTTGGTATGGGAATCGAATTCCGTGAGGCAAGCTATGTTTTGACAGGAAAGAATGTCCGAGAGCTTAAGAACGGCATGGTGCTCAACTTCTCCATGGGTTTCTCTGATCTCGAAAATCCAAAGCCCACAGATGAACGTAGCAAGAAATACTCTCTTCTTATCATCGATACAATCCGAGTCACAAACGATGCACCTGTTGTATTGACAGACTGCAGTAAGCGTTTGAACGAGGTGTCATACTTCTTCAAAGATGAGGGTGGAGATGGAGACGAAACAGAAAGCGCTCAGAACCCCAAGTCTTCAAAGAAGGACTCCGTATCGAAGACAGCTATCTTGAGAAGCAAGTTCAGAAGTGAAGAGCAAGAAGAAGAGTCTCGTGAACAAAAGAGAAAAGAGCATCAGAAGCAGCTCTTTGCCCAAAAGTTAGCTGATGGTCTTGCCAAATTCTCTGAAACCGCCGAGAATGATAATGATGAAAACAAAGCGGCATTTAAGAAGTTCGAGAGTTATCGATCTGAATCTAAGCTTCCCCGTGAAGTCAAGGATTTGAGAGTAAGCCTTTTTTTCTTAATATTCTAATTGGTAGTTTCTGGTGAGAATATCAAGTCTCATTACTCGATTTATATAGATTGTTGTCGATAAGAGAAGTGAATCAATTATCCTTCCTATTTATGGCATGGCTGTTCCATTCCATATCTCTACACTGAAAAATGCAAGCAAGAGCGACGAAGGAGACTACGTGATGCTCCGTCTCAATTTCTTGACTCCAGGTCAGGCTGGTAGCAAGAAAGAAGATATGGTAAGACTATATGCTACTCTGACCGAATATTATATTAAACGCGTATATACATAGCCATTTGATGATGTGAACGCCACATTTGTACGTGCACTGACATTCAGAAGTGCAAATACTGGACGTATGGCCGAAATCTTCCGTAGTATCACAGACCTTAAAAAAGACGCTTCAAAGAAAGAAGCCGAAAGAAAGGAGATGGCCGATGTTGTAGAGCAGGATAATTTGATTCAGGTCAAGGGTAGACGACCCCTTAGACTACCCGATGTCCATGTCCGACCTTCAGTAGAAGCCAAGCGACTACCCGGTGAATTAGAAATTCATACAAACGGTCTTCGATACCAGTCTATTCGATCCGATAATTCATTCAGTAAGAATATTCATCGACCACCAACCTATTTTCAATTGTACTTATTGCTTCCCAAAAGATGTTTTGTTTAGCAACGTAAAGCATTTGTTCTTCCAGCCTTGCGATAACGAACTATTGGTCTTAATCCACATCCACTTCAAGAACCCAGTATTGATCGGAAAGAAAAAGACAAAGGTCCGTTTTATCTTTTTGTGGATGTTTTTTTTTGTTACGGTACTAATATATATATATTTAAAAAAAAATGTATGTTTATACAGGATATCCAATTTTATCGCGAAGCATCAGACATGCAATTCGATGAAACTGGCAACAAGAGAAGAAGACAAATGTATGGTGATGAAGATGAATTGGAAGCAGAGCAAGAAGAAAGAAGAAGAAGAGCAAACTTGAACCGCGAATTCAAGACATTCACAGAAAAGATCGCAGAAGCAGTAAGTCTTGTGGTTAGGTCTTTGTTTTAAGCGTCAAAACTTAATGTCTCGCGTAGAGTGATTCTCGTATCGAAGTCGATATTCCATTCCGAGAACTTGGCTTCCAGGGTGTGCCATTCCGTTCAAACGTACTCTTACAACCTACCACAGACTGTTTGGTCCATTTATCCGATCCTCCTTATTTAATTATTACATTAAGTGATATTGAGATTGCTCATTTGGAACGTGTTCAGTTTGGTCTCAAGCACTTTGATATGGTCTTTGTATTCAAAGACTTCCATCGTACACCCATCCATATCAATACCATCCCTATATCACAACTAGACAATGTGAAAGACTGGCTTGAGTAAGTATTATTTTTGAATGTTCATCTTAAAATATATAAGAAAAGAAAGGCAACAGTTTGCTAATCTCATTTTCTAAAAAAAATAGTTCTGTAGAAGTTGCATTTACGGAAGGAGCTGTCAACCTTAACTGGACTATGATCATGAAAACAGTGAATGAAGATCCAGCAGAGTTTTACAAGAATGGCGGCTGGAACTTCTTGGGCCCTAATAGTGATGTATGTCTAACACAAAGATTTTTTTTTAGCTATTAACTTTTGTCATTTATTTTTCTATTATAGGATGATGGCTCAGGTAATGATTCAGATACCGCGAGTGAGTTCGAGATTAGCTCTGAAGAGCTTGATGAGAGCTCAAGTGAAGATGAAAGTGGTTTTGGATCGGATGCTTCAGAAGATTCAGAAGAAGAAGAAGAGTTGTCTGATTCAGGCGACGGTAAGACAAAAGAAAGAAAAAATGAATACTTAAATTATAATGTGTCTCACCAAATCAAAATTTTAGATTGGGACGAGTTAGAAGAGAAGGCAAGACAAGGTATGTTTTATAATTCTTTTGAAGAAGAAGGGATAGTATTAAGATGACTAACTATTGAAAAATAGCTGATGAGCGAAAACTTAAGAGAGCTGGAGAATTCGAGGAAGTTCCTAGAAAGGCACCAAGACGCTAAAGAAAAAGGAGAAAAAGATAATACTTTTTATTTTTATTTTTATTAAGATTTAGTTTGTGGTGGATTACTTTTCTTTATATTTTCTTCTTATTTTTTTTTTCTATATTCTATTATTCACTTGCACGGCATTGTATAAATCCTCAAGACATTGCTTTCATGTCTCTTCTTTCCTTAATTAAAAAGAAGTATGTCCCAAGAATATATATAAATGGGCATTACACATATTATTCACACATTCATGACGGCTACACCCTCAATGTTCATTTGGCTGGTTTTTATATACAAATATATCTATATATAAAAGTGTTTTTTAAAACCTTATAATCCGTGTACTTAAAATTCAAGACTTGCATTGAATAAATATGAGACTATATGAAGTGGCGCTTTTCTCTTCTGCTTCTTCTGCTTCTCTTTTTAGTTGACTAACCCTAGACTGAACCTCTATTGAATATTCATAAAGATCACCAATACATTTCAAGATTTTTATACATAGAAGATTTACAGCAACAGCAATAGAAGGATGGGCAATTTATACAATGTTATTCGTTTGTTTGTTTTGTTTTGTTTTTGTTTTCATGCTTGTGCTATTTCACACTATTTGTTTGATTATACACTTATTTTGTTATACATTTTCGAAGCCAAACACTTCCAAAGCTACCGTAAGATCAATTGTCACTCCTTCTGACATGTCGGCGTGTATAATGGTTTGACCGACGTAACCTGATTCACTATCGTTATGCTGAAGTAACTCTGCTGATTCCGTCACAGGTACCAGGACACGATCTTCTTGGTCAACCCGCTGGTTTTCGGTAAGGTTTTCATGGGTATTGAGGCAATAAATGGAATAACGGATGTTGGCTCTTTGAGATCTCTGATGAAGATTTCCGGCAATTCGTTTGATAGGTGAATCATAGCGTGATCCAAAGGTATATTTGCGTTTCATACTGTATGATGAAGACCGAGATACGTTTGAGCTTTCTCGTCTTGAAAACAACGCCTTTTTTGGACTAGTCTTGCTTGTACCAAGACTGTAGCGGATAAACTCGGATCTCTCTTCTTCGTTTTCTAGGATTTGTTCATTATCAGAAAGACCTGGAGTGTTATTTTCTTCTTCTGCTTCTTCTACATTCACAATTTCATCTGACTTGTCTGATGATATCTCAGACAGCTCTCGTCTAAGAAGTCCTTTGTCGTCATGATACAGCTCAAATCGACAAACCAGTACATTCTTGTCGCTGGGATTCTCTTCGTCGTTTGAACCTTCCTTTTTGTTGTTGGTATTGTTCATGTAGAGTAAGTGTCTTGGCATCACTTGAGCCTCAACAGCTACAGAATAGGATGATCCGAGGATTTTTTCTGGTCGTGAGTAGAATGTTTTGGAATATGATGCAGGCGAATATTGGTTGGCTAGTAAAGGATCTGTTCCTTCAAGTGGTGTTTGTGTGAGTACAGCTACACTGTCTGAAGAAGTATCTTTGGATGTTTCACACCTCACGATTTGATCCGACTCATAAAAAGAATCTTCTTCATCTTCTAGTGAGTTCAATAGATTCTCAAGTTCATCTTCGCTCTCATTTGCATCGTTGTGTGTGGTTTCTGTGGGTGCTTTATCGTTTGTTGAGTTGGCGTTTGATTTCTCGATTAATTTCCATCCATTTGCAACTGTAGCTGGTGTGAGATGAATTGATTTTCGGAAACGGAATTTGGGTGTCCCGAGTAATATTCTTCTTCGTCTTTCCTGATCTACAGTGTCATCGACATCAAAATATTCGTTGAGGGCCTCGCTGCGATCTTGGGTTGGATCCTTTCCATTATAATCCTCTTCAGATGGAATGGGCTGGCTCGACTGGAAATGGAATGGAAAAATGATACGTTCTAGTGCTTCTCTTTGCCAAAGGGCCCGAAAAACAATTTCTTCATTGACGATCTTGTCATGGCGTACGGTGGTTAATTGATCGAATGTCATGTTGCTGTATATCACAGTTGTACGTAGGAGATAGGATAATACGGTTGCTTTGTCAATCACTCCACCAGAAGATACGTCTGCCATAAGTTTTTCAAAAGGTACACACGCAGAGAAACTTATTCGTACGGGCTGCAGTTTGGTGACTTCATTAAAGCCAACGCTAAATTGGGCGTCTTCCAGTTCTTCAGATGGAATTCGTTTACGCTTCAGTGCACGCACCGTGTTTGCCGAGAGCTCTTCGTTTGGAAAATTTCCAAACGCTTTGATTCTCTGGTGTTTTTTCTGAGCCAGTAGTGACTTTGGTGGTTGTACGAATCCAGAAAGTCGTTTATTGTGCTGGTCAACTGGCCCAGAAGCGGTCCAAGTGATTTTGCCGACCGACTGCATGAATGTAACCAAGGTCTTTTTTAAGAGACAGTAGCGTTCAAACTCACTGCCGACAAACAAGATATCTGCACTCAAGACATCGGCCATGTAGTCAACTGGAAGTATGGCGAGTCCAGCCGGATGCTCAGGGCCGTATCTTAGCAAGAGCAGTAACACGGCGTCTCTGAGCTGTAGATAAGCGTTGTGGTTGCGAGGAAGCTGTCCGATAGTTTCAAGATCACGCACAGCCGTTGCCAGGGACAGCTGTGTAGTTGTGTAGCGCTTGATGCATTCGTCTGCAAGATCATCAATGTCGAACAAGATTGCTATCGATAATATATGGAGAGTGTCTTCGTCCTCAAGTTTCTGGGTCATTTCGGACTTGTCATGTGAGTATAGCCATTGAATCGCAAATCTAATGTGAGACGTCAAAATGTGATTTAATGGCTCATTGGATCGATTATTGGATTTTCTGGTCGAGCATGGTGATAATTCAATAGGACTCTCCCAACGACGTGTAACAATGTGTTGAAAAGGGCTCAAGACAAAACCGCGGTTAGAGAATGCTTTGAAGAGATCGATTTTAAGAGTAGTTGTAAATTCGGTTTTTTCCTCAAGGGTGGATTTGTTGGGCTTGACTTTACGAATTTGAGTTAATTTCTGCATTAGACTTTCAAAAAAAGGCGATTGGCACATTATTGCTCGATGAACATCAAAACGCATGGAGAAAGGAAAGACAGGATGAATGAATTCAAGGGACAAGTCCGAGAATAGGGATTTATCAAACATGTCCTCCATCAAATGGCGTTCTAGTTTATTTTTTGTTTTTTTGTTTGTCATTGATTGGTAGTAAGAGAATTGTAATGCTACACAAGACAAGAAGGTAAAAAGATAAAGATAAAATAAAAAAGAAGAAGGAATAAGAACAAGCAACAGCAGTAACAGTAGTAAGTATTAGTAGTAGTAGAGTTTGAGCGGGTAGCAAAAGTCTAATGATTATTCCTCGATTTATCAAATCTGGTTTACAAGAAATTATCAAAGTCACGCTGTAGTTAAAGCAGATTAATACATATAATTTATCATCATCAACATGGTAGGATGTTCGAGACAAAAGGTCGTAAGTAATAGATAGACAAACATAAAACAAGCTTTTTATTTTACATTTTAGTCTATACGTTAATATACAAGAACTTGTTAAAGACTTGTTGTTAATAGCTTTTCGTTTTTTCTTTATAAAAAAAAAGAAGAATAATACTGTGAGGGAATATGGTTATTAGTCTTGATGTTCGTTAAAGAAGCTTGGTGTAAAGTATACAAATTAAACAAGCATTGGAATGCAGATCTCTTTAGTTGGAATGGATAAAATGATATATACATTACATACATTTATATATAAAATAAAATATAATACAATACGATATGAAAGAAGAGGAAAAATAAAAAGTAAATTAAAAGAAACATTAATATTTCTATTTACAATATACATACATACATAAACATGTGCATGTGTGTATAAATCTCTGTCCTGTAGACAGTCTGCTTCCAAAAGGAAATCTGGGTTATTTGATTATACTAGTTTGCCCATTCTTGTTTATACTTGTTTCAGAAATAGACGAGGTTGGCGAAATCAATGTATTTGGTTCTGTAGTAATTTCCACTTCGCCTGATTCCGAAGCAAGGACAAAAGTGTGCTCTACGGTGGGAGACTGCAGATTATTTGATCCAGGTTCCAAAGCTTCCTGTGCAACATATTCATCTTCTCCTTTTACAACCACATCAATACACCCTTCTCTTGGTAATATTTCGTCGCTATCACTCTCTTCTGCCTCATTGTCGGTTGATTGAGTACGCTCTGTGCTGCCTATGATGTGTTGCTGGATTTTCCCGGATATCGCTCCAATACTTCCATAGCCAAACCCTCTTCTTTCTTGATGGGATAAGGGGATACAAAAGTCAATAACTGGATAATTTGAATCTCCAAATGGAAGCTTCTTGCTCTGTTCATATAGCTCCTCTACATCTTCTGAGGCACTTGGATCGTCAAATCTCAACGCTTCCTCGTTTTCTTCATCTTCAAGCATCTGTTCGTCATTAACACCTCTCTTTGGCGTACTTATGTACATTGATGGCTGTACTGGCTTCACCCAGTATTTCTTTGCCGAGCTGGCTGAATAACGGAGTCCGGCCATGAGCCGTGAGTCCCGAGTGGGGCCACTTGGAGGTAATCCGACGGCTGGCTCAAAAGCTCGATAACAGAATCGATCTCCGTAGAATGTATCTCTAGAATCCATCAATACATCTTTAAGGCCAATAGAGTCTCTTATTGCCACGCGTAATGGCATTCGTGCGGTATGTACATCTGGATTTAAATATTCTTTATATGTAAAAGAGTAACTGTTGAAGAAGTCAATAATTAATTGGCTATACTGTTAATGATATATATATATATATAGCTTTATTTTATTTGTCTGCTTACAAATGGCCAATAGCAGCTGGTACCATTTCTACACAGATTAAAATGTCTTGGATAGCGACGGAAATATGTCCTGGACCAGCTAAAGATATAAATTATGTTGAATTAATATATTATTGAATTATTGCGATAAATTTACGTACAGTCTTTAATGACACCTATAGACACTAGAAATGTGATTACCACACTTTGCCAAAAAGAAAAGAAGATGATGGATTTCACACAGAGGAACTTTGAAAAAGGACTTGTTAAATATATAAAACGAGTATTATTAATATCATTGTAGAATGATTTGGTTTTGTAGCAAGATATAATACAACTATAAAATTAATAATAAACTTACCGAAATCCGACCAAATCTTCTTTGGTAGCGTAGAAGAATACAAGAAGAGACCAGAGGCTTTGACAGACACTGAGATTGTAGATAAAGGTAATATAAAAGTAGGAACTTGACCAGCTCACTTCGCCTTCGGTAAAGTTACCTGTGGCTTTAAGGATCATGGTTAGGATGGCCAATATTGGTTTGAGATAGACAAATTGAAGAATACTGCGTTTGACGAATAAGAATGTGTAAGGATCTCCAACGAATATTTCTCGGGACCAAAGTGAACCAGGAAAGACGTTTTTAGAAGGCGGACGTGAATGGAGTTTGGCAAAAAGAGCTCTCTCTCCACCAAACTTGCTTAGTAAGAGATTGAAGAAGGCATAGAGAACAAATGCTTCATAAATGTCCCGAAAGGTGTCGACATAGAATGCTGTGTTGAGGGAGACTAATGAAATACACGTACTGATTCCATACACAGGAACCCTGTTGTATTTTTGACAGTTGGAAACAAATCATTAGAAGTCTAGATATAAAGAAATTGAATATGAGTAGCTTACATTAATAGAATACGAATTACTTGTCGTTGTAGACTCTGTAAATATATTAGTGTGCTTGTGCATATATAAATATATTATATTCACCGGCTGTCTGTAATTCTTCCAATGGAACCAAACTGCTGTGAATGAGATGCAGGTGCTGATGATCGTACAAATGAATGCAATGTGAATGGCAATAGGATGGAATGTTGATCCCGAACCACCTTCACCGTATCCCCAGTTATTGATATTTTGGTTCCATAGTTCTGTAGTGAGTATTGATTGATTTAAAGTGTGTGTTTGATACATCAGAACTGTATCTTGATTTATTAAATAATAAAATGAAGACAATTCAAACAATTCAAGTAATGATAATGATAGTAATAGGACAGTGGTTGATAGGTTATTAGAAAATATTGATTTTTATTTAATTCGATTTTTTTTAATTAATTAATATATAAAGGACTTGTATCCCCGCATTAAATAATCACGTCGGCATGACGAGAGACGACGTCTGTGATGGTACCACAAACAAGGTCAACCATGTATGTCCTCTTCAAAACAATGGTAAATAAGATATAGAATTGATTACATTATATTATTACTAATCTATATTTTTAAAAACTGAAGGAGAATATTAAGGTGTGACTAGTTTTTCTCAGGGCGAAAAAAAAAAAGCAAGTTGATTAAACAAATATATATGTAAGATGGAGAGAGAAAAGTGATCGAATGTACAATGAAAATGGAAAAAGGAAATGGGATTTTTAATAAGAGAATAATGATTTCATAATTTCACAATTCCATAATTCCATAATTCTGTAATTTCTATAATTCACAGTTGCAAAAATATATATAAAACGTATCATAGCTACTGTGCTACTTTGTTGGCCTACAATGTTAATCCGGTCATTGTTTCCGCCCATCACCGGTGAATTGAAGTGAAATTAGTAGAGTTTATTTTCCTATTCGTGTCCGTGGGTACAGTTGCAGGTGAAATATGGTAAGGTAATAAAATAAAATAATAATAAAAAAAATAGAAATGAGGTACATTATTATTATTATAATATATATATATATATATTTAAACTAAACTAAGATAAAATAAAATAAAATAAATGGAGATCAAAGAACAGGATCCCCAATAAACTGTGTACAGTGTGAATGTCGTGTTACATTTCATGGTAACCCAATTCATTCATTCAATTTTTTTTTTTATACTTTATCTAAAATTTTCTATTAGGAATAATAAATTTCTGCTTAATACTATTTATAGTAACTTGTTTAAAGATATATTCCTGCTGTGTACCATTCTCTATTTATCTCCGATGACCTTAGATAGAATTGTTTACCAAAACAAGACATGAAATGCTATTTATTCTTATATAAATACATAAAAATATACATACATAAAAATATACATACATAAATATATATATATATATATATATATATATATATATTAATATAAGCTTATTTATTTATTTATTTATTTATGTAGGTATCTATGTATGTATATGCACAGTCTTGCATACAATATATATATATATAAAGCCTTTTATATACGCATGTGAGCAAGTGAATTAACAAGTGAGTGAGTGAGTGAGTAAAGAGGTGTGTTATATGTATATTTAGATGATTGGTGTGCTCTAAATTATTTTTCAACTCAAATTTTGTTCAACTAAATAAAATATTATTTTTGGTTCATTTCAATCTTAGCAGCCAATAAAAATTGATGTAGTATAAAAATAAGCAGTTTATGACGTATTCAAACTGTTGCACTTGTTTATAGATACATACATAGTAGTTATATTAATCTCGCGCTTTTATTCAGAAAGTCAAAAATAAAAAAATAAAAAAAAAAAATAAAAAAACAAGCCCTTGAATATTCATAATTTCTCTCCCTTCCTTCTCCCCTCTTCTCCCCCCCCCCCC